CCTGCTGCAAGCTGCCTACCGGCTTCAAGTGCGATCGAAACGTAGCCTGCACCAGGCATGAGCACTTCGCCAAGGATCTCGTGACCAGCGAGCCATGTATTTTCGTCGAGAGTCAAGATGTTTCTCCATCGCAGCTCGTGTGCATCATCGTCCAGCATACGGCGACCAAGGAGCCCGCAAGGGCTGTCCTGACCAAGTCGATATCTCTGTGATAGACGAGATTCTCTCCAGAATGTCTGAGTATGATCCCAAGGATAACAAGGGAGGTTCGTTATCACTTCAGGCTGTCCGATTTCCGAGCTGCCAAGGCATGCACGACGAAAGCCGGCGAAATCTACTGATTTCGACCCCATTGTAGACCAATAGAGACCAAGAGCAGATGAGATTGCATCCAAATCATCTTGCCCACGTTTCAAAACACCAGTGTAGTGGGGAGCAGAACTGAAGACTGCCTTCAAGGTATCCTCGCTAGGACTCTTGAGCGCAGGATGAGGGCCAACCTCAACAACCATATCGAACGGTCCTCCATTGGTGATAGCCGATTCAAGAGCCTGAGAAAACAGAACCGTTTGCTCCATGTTCTTGACCCAGTAGTCTCCCTTCAACGGGGACAGATCGCCTTCCAGGATCTCGGTATCACCACGTACACTTGAGCTCCAGACACAATCCTCAATCGGAGCACTGACGGCGATGTCGCAAGCAAGCAATGACTGAAGATAAGTGTCACCGCATTTCTTCATGTGATGCGAGTGATAGGCAGTGTCAACACGTAACGGGCGAGCAAACACGTCTCGAGCTTCGAGTTCCTTCTTCGCAATTGAGATTGCGTCCAAGTCACCCGAGATAGTGACACTAGTGGGAGAGTTGCTTGCAGCGACAGAAATTCTTCCTCGAAAATCACGTCGATTGCAGAACTGCAAGGCTTCGTCGTAAGAGAGGCCGGTAGCAAGCATTCCTCCGGGCTGGCCGTCATCGCCTTTGGCCAAATGAGCATGGAGACCTCGATAGTAAGCAATCTGCATAGCGCCGGTGAGGCTCAACATGCCAGCAGCATAGACTGCAGCTATCTCTCCAGATGAATGGCCGACGACGGCGTGGAATTTCAAGCCGGCTGCTTTCAACACATCCACCAAAGCAATCTGTACCGCAGTACATAGGGGCTGGCTTACAGCCGCCTCTGAAAGGCGGGAAGAAGCGTTGCCTGCTTCGAGTTCTTCACATAGAGACCAGGAGGGGCGATCCGGAAGCGCGTTGAGCACGACTTCGCACTGCTCTATGGATTGACGGAAAAGTGCCACGCGAGAGAAGAGTTCCATGCCCATAGTTGGCCATTGGGCTCCTTGACCAGTGAACACGCCGAGGACACCAGGTGACTCATTACGATCAATCAGTTGCGGCTGGAACCCAATTTGCTCTGGCTGGAGGCTTTGATTTATCTGAACGAATGCAGCCAAGCTGTCTAACAGAGATTGATAACTGCGATTGCTGAAATAGCATCGGACTTTGTGCGTCGTACGTCTGGTCTGCAGCGTCCAGCAGATATCGGGCAGATTCGCCGAAGGATTGGAGATCATGTAAGATAGCAAATCGCGTACCTTATTCAGTAGAGTGGGGCCCGAATGGGCCGAGATCACGAGCGGACCAAGAGCTTGGTCTGCATGGTAACCGCTCTGCGCGACCTGAGGTTTATACTCCTCGATCAGAGCATGTGCATTGGTACCGCCGAAACCGAAGCTGTTGACACTTGCACGTTTCGGACTTCCAGAAATGGTATCAGGCCACGGCAATGATGTGGTGGGTATCTGCAGGGGGCCGTAAAAGGGCCTGACCGAATCACTCAGTTGATTGAACAGCAGATTCGGCGGGAGCGTCTGATTCCTTATCGCGAGGACTGCCTTTAAGACTCCAGCCAAACCCGCACAGCCCTCGGTATGGCCGATGACAGTTTTGACTGAGCCCACAAAGAGGGGAGCGACCTCATCAGAGGTCTCAGTGGGGAAAAAGGCGTCACGAATTGCTCGTGCTTCAATAGGGTCGCCCGCCTGCGTGCCTGTCCCATGGCATTCGAAGAATTGAGGGCGATCGATGAGTGGATCAAGACCAGCTTGTTTGTAGGTTTGGCGGATGAGGGCCGTCTGTGCCGCCGCAGTAGGCATGGTGATGCCGGAACTGTGACCGTCCGAGTTGACACCAGTTGCTCGTACTATTGCTTGGATCGGATCTCCATGCTGTAGCGCTTGACTGAGCGGCTTGAGGATCATGGCAGCTATGCCCTCACCACGAGCATATCCATTGGCGGCCTGGTCCCACATTCGGGAGCGGGACTCGGCAGAAAGCATCGAAAGCTTCGATTCAGTGATGAACATCGCTGGATCGAGTATCAGGTTCACGCCGCCAACGATGGCGCTATCGCAGTCGCCCGAGCGCAAGGAGTGCATTGCCTGGTGGAGAGCGACCAACGAGCTGGAGCAAGCAGTATCGATTGTGACCGAGGGGGCGTGGAGGTCGAAGACGTACGAGACGCGATTTGATAAGATGCTTCGCGCCGTTCCAGTTGCGTTATATTTCGACATGGTCTCCGTGTCTCGATTTTGTATGTCGGTATAATCAGCGTTCATGGCACCAACATGAACGGAAGTTTGTGAGCCATGAACATCTTCCAATGTCCAGCCTGCGGACTCCATAGCCTCGTACACAGTTTCTAGCAGTATTCGTTGCTGTGGATCCATGCTCTCTGCTTCTGGAGGGGATATGCTGAAGAATTTGGCATCGAAGGCTTTGACGTCCTCATCGAGGAGGTAACTTCGATTGGTGACATCTGTGGATCCATGGTTTGTCCCCTGTGCATGATAAAATCGATTGAGGTTCAATCGTGAAGGGGGAAACTCTTGGAGAACATCGTAAGGCGTCTTTAACAAGTTCCACAGCTTCGACGGGGTATTGCTGCCTCCAGGGAAGCGGCAGGCCATGCCAACAATGGCTATGGGATCAGTTTGTGACGAGTTCATCGCGGGCTATTCTTCTCTTTGTCGATTGTTTTGGGAAATTTGCGACTACGAGATCTTGCACCAGGTTCCGGGCACAGAAAACAGAGGTGGTATGGAAAAAACGAAAGCTGAAGGAATATTGAAGGCCAGAGGAAACGTGAACCAACCAGGACTACTTACATTCAATTCATTGATTCCAAGGAACCATTGTGAAGAGGTTTCTTCACTTCCAGGCCTAGTTTTCGGAGCTGAACATATATGTCCGATCATGAATGTGGTTTGAGTCGGGATATCCGGGGCCGGAGATATGTTGACCGATACCTTCAGGTCCGACACCTTTTGCCACAATCCCATCCATCGCAGGCCGCATTCACTTGTCCGATCGACAAGGCAGATTCAAAGGGCAGTATGTAAAAGCGTCATGTTGTCTAAGGGTTCTGTCGGACCAGCACAGCCTATTCAACTTACCTGAATCTTACCTCCTACCTTATCGACTCATTTTCTCTCGAGTTTCCTGGTAATATCCAAGGGGACGAGCAAAGACAATGGCAATCCACATGCCACCCATTGGCCTGCCCAAGTCGCAACGGGCCATCAAGGTCAGTGTAGATGGTGTGGCCACGACAAGCGAAGGTGACCTGCCTCAAGTTGGCGACGAAGAAGTGTTAGTCCGTGTGGTCTGCGTGGCCCTCAACCCGGTCGACAGCAAATCGGTCGAAATGTCGCCTACAAATGGAGCGACGGTGGGCTGTGATTTCGCCGGAGAGGTCGTGCAGATGGGCAAGGCCGTATCAACCGTCACATTGGGAGCACGGGTCTGTGGATGCGTCTTCGGTAACAATCCAATGAGGCCTGATAACGGAGCGTTTGCAGAGTACGTCGCGGTCCCCGCGCGGCTGGTGCTGGTGGTTCCACCCACCATACCATACCAGAGTGCGGCCACGCTCGGTGTTGGTCTTGCGACGGTCGGACTGGCGCTGTATCAGGAGATGAGGCTGAAGTGCACGCCTTCAGCACCAGCGAAGAAAGGATTCCCAGTGCTCGTGTCAGGAGCGGGGACAGCGACAGGCGCGTTGGCCACTCAAATCCTCACGCTGTAAGCAGATGCCCCGCCCAGCAGAGCCCCACGCAACACCAGAAACTTTTAGCTACTCACCCGGTATGAAACCTACCGGTAACCCGTGATACTGACATCGATCGTCGTCTCAGATCTGGTTTGCAGCCCATCGTGACCAGCTCGCCGGGCAGTTTCGACCGGCTGCGTCGTTTGGGGGCCGTGGCGACGTTCGACTATCAGTCTCCCACGTGCGGCAGCGACATTCGCGAATACACGGCCAATGAGTTAGGATGTGCTCTGGATTGCCACGCTGACTCGGGTTCCATGACCATTTGCTACAATGCGATCGGTTCGGATGGTGGCAGATACGTAGCATTGAACCCGTTCCCTCTTCGCGTGCATCGACGACGTAGCGTGCAGCCAGGATGGGTTTTCATGTTCACCCAATTCGATCAAACGATCCCCTGGAAGCGACCATACTACCGGGATGAAAGACCGCAGGACTACCGGTTTGCCACAGGCTGGTACGAAGAAATGCAAGAATTATTGGAGGCTGGCACACTCGTGCCCGGTCCCTACATCGAACAGACCGGGGGACTTGACGCCATTGTCCGCGGGCTGGAAGCAATGGGCAGGGGTGAAATTCGGGGACGAAAGTGGGTTTATGCCATTGGGAAAGAATAGCATCTACATACATACAGTAAAATTGGGTGCTCGAGTCGAGCCAACAAGAGACTTTCATGTACCTGACGAGTCATGTGAGGGAAATGCGAGGTGCCGTCACAGCCGGATTTGGCCCGAAATGACGCAACAAAATAATGGGAAAGACGTATCATGTTTATAAACTCTCTTGCATGCGCTCATGTATCTAGGATTGGTGACGGATCCTGCCCTGCAGTCGGCAAGCTCAACATATGGCCATAGTCGTCACCAGCGTCAGCTAATGAACATTCCCATCATGTCCCATCAGGCAGCACCCATTCTGGCAGGGGGCCTGAATCCCACGCAGTATTTAGCAGGTCAAAGCACCCAGTGGTCGACTCCAGGATCGGATCGAGTACCTGATGATCAAGCATGCGCGTTTTCAAGGTATTGAAGTTCTCCGACAAACACCTGTGGAAGGCGTCAAGAATGGCATCGTCTGCGGGTTGTCCTGCTTGAGCTGCGTCGATTTGTGCTGTCAGCCCGGCAAACAGCATCGACACCTGAATGTCGGGCTGGCCTTGCGATATGCGTCGTGAGATCAATTCTATGTTTTCATCCAAGATCTTGCGAAGTGGTTGTCGATTCATAGCACTGGATATGGGTGTGAGAGCCGACACCTCGTTTTCTAGCATGTCCGAAAGCTCTGCCGAGACAACGAGAATGGCCAAATTCAAGGAGCTAGACATGACACCCGAGCCGATAATCATGACACGTACATAATCGTCTTCGTCCGGACCCGTTGGATGATCCAGTAAGGAAAGCGCCACTTCCAAGCTGACCTTCCGCGAGAAGTATAGCGTTGGATCCGTACTAGCCTTGAGTGCAAATGGAACGTGTAACGCTAGCAGGTAGCGATACATAAACATGTTTAAAAGCCGCACCGGGAATTTCTGTGATTGTGCCTTGTTGTTGCCAACATTGAGCCGTGCCTGCGTTGATCTACAGTGAGCGCTTAATCGCGAGCTCAGCTGTAGAAGTCGTTGGTAAGGGATCTCACGCCGAGGGCAATTCACCATCCTTGCAATCTCGAGGCGCACCGGGAAGGACTCCATGAGAAATATCTGAATGGATGTGTGACTTAGGTCATCTAGCGGCTTTGACGTCGGCTCTGTCTCCGTATTTTGATCGAAACTTTCGTCCGGTACATTCAGAGGAAGCTCGAAGTCGACGCCATCCATCGGAATCAATGGCACTGCCCCGACCTCGATGCTGAACTGCAGCGAGATCTCAAGCACAGTGGACCATAGCCGTCTACGAAGCTCCTGCTCGTAGAAACTCATCTGTGGCAACATCTTCGGACTTATATGTAGGCCGATCCGCATCGCTACCCGCATCAGACTTTCCACCGACAAGCCGACCAAATCAGCACCCGAGTGGTAAGGACTGACAAGCCGGGCCATCATGAGAAGGCAAAAGTTCTGCACACCAGTGAGTCCGGTCCAGCGGTCCCCACCATTGGACAACAATCTGGACTCTGCAGCATGGATCCAGACCGACTCGTTACAGCTGTCTCTCAGCTTCGGCGAGAATAACGCTCCAATCGATATCACTAGGAGTAATTGAAGCTGGAAGTCCTCCGATGAGGCCAGTGGTCTCTCCCAGAAACCTTGGCATTCGTGAAGAAACAATGGAACGTGTAACACGCGTAACACTGACTCGAAGGTCCGCAAATATGCTTGAATAAGTTGATCGGTGATGGCTTGAGGAGGAATCAAATCTTTCAGATTGGTGACCAGCAGTTGCGGGATCGAATTTTGTGATCGTCTTGTTTCCGTCAGTTCCCTGCATTGCCTGTACAGATTTCCTCCGGGCTCTTTCTCGACAGCACGTTGTAATGTATGAACTTTGCGAAACTGTTCCACACCATGGGTCAGTAATGTATGCGTTGACTCTTGAGCACGGCTTTCGCTTACGTGAACAGCGCTGTTTATCCAGTGGCTTGGTCCAAAGAAGCGAGAATCCAAAAATATGCCGCGGATCGGAAGAACTCCTGAGCCGTCCTCACTTGATGAGCTGCCATTTGAGCAAATACCCTTATGCGTGATCTCGGTAGGTGTTGATACTACTGAGTCGGGTCTTGGGGGTTCAAAGCCAGTTCGAAAGACTGGGCTCACGCCTTCGGATGACGGCACATCTTCACAGTAGGTATGCGAGTCCTCCTTCTCTCGCCTTGAGGATTGGTGGACATGTTCAGAATTGGTCCGTTTGCGTTTCAAATGACGTTGCACAGAGCATTCGTCGTCATCGATCTGTATGTAGACGCAGTACTCGGACTTGGAGCGGACGCATTGGTTGCAGGGGGCTTCGCGGTTGCACCTATCTTTTAGTCAGCATTGACACTTCGATCGCCTGGTATGCTGGGACACCTGGGGTGAGCAACCTAATCTTTTTTCGTCGACAAGGCTCACATGCCAAGGTTGGTCGTCGACGACGGCTGGACGTGACTGAGGTTTCGTTTGCAATAGCCATCACTGAGGCGAAATTGTCGTGTAGACATTGTGCCTCACGGCTTGCGCCAACAGCCAAGAGATGTATGTTTCATAACGCATCCTTCGACATCGTTACACAAAGGTCTTTAGCCTCACAGCGAGGAACCATCAGAAGCTCACGAAATACAACATTGGAGCTGCCCCACAGGCTTTCACCATCCTTCTAGCCCCTTAGGGCTTAGTATTGCCGAATCCTACGACTCGTAGGATGCTTTGGCGAGGTCATTGGTTTTGGTAATGGGGACATGCATGTGCTTCCTCATTGCAACGAATAGCGTATGGAAACGCAGAATGGATCCGCGACGCGAGCTCTTGTCAACAAAAGCGGGATCCGACGGCGCCCGGTCTAGCGGCAGTAAGGGCCCCAAACGGCATGACGGGCCGACGACTAAGGAATCCTTCTCGCATCCCCGCTAGAAACAAGGATACAGACTTAAGTGCCCATAAGTCTATGGAAGCGTCGTCAGCAGCTAACGTAATGTAATTCCAAAGCGAGCGGGACACCCGGTCGGCCGAGTCGGTAGAAAATGTCGACAGACAAAGTGGGGGTCTTCAACTCCCAGATTTATTTTCAACTCCCAGAGTTTCTCATTCCACTCCCCTCGGTGCGGAATATGATTATATAATTTCGACCGCTTTAGATAAGCATACAATCATTGGTCTATCTGAAATTCGTTCCCAACTTTATTTTTTTTGTCACTTTAATAATTTTCCCCTTAGGTAAGACCTCTTTTTCACAGTCAAAATGTCACAAGACCTTATTAGTGCCTTACACCGCCCCCCCCCCCAAGTTCTATCTGTCGAGCGGAAAGGAGTGGTCAAATACCACTAAGACTCTTTTGGGATAGGGTATTCATCGTCCACCCAATTCCCCGAGTATTCGTATGGTATTCGGGTTAGACTCGGAGTATGGCGACGGGCAGAGACCAAAGGTTGTCGACTCGGAGGTCTCTTTCGATGAAGTGAGTGCAGCTCCGTGAGGTACTTATGGTCAAATATCATCCCCGATACTCTACTCTCGAATCTCGGACTTAAACTCGGGACCTTAACGCAACCATAGCTGAATGTAATGTCGGTCGGGTTGCTCGGATAGATAACTGTACCTATTGTAGTGGGGAGACCCGATCACTACTACGGATTACCATACTGTTACAGGTCACATTCCGTCCCGTAAGGAGAAGGTCATATTAATACGGGTTTAGCACTAGCTGGAGAATACACACACTTAACGTATTCCACATGCGAGCGGCGCAGTCCAAAACACATAGTAAATGCGATAAATTACAACTTGATATCTCAATAACGGTGGTCTATAGGGGCTTTTCCTTATGAGCTGATGTATTTTGGGTGTTATCTAGCCTCTCTAGAGAGTTTAGAAAATATGTATAACTTTGTGATTGCGATATATATATTTCAAGCTTTTTGCAATGTAATTATCGGTAATATTTGAAATGATAATATTATTGCTTTCTGCTTGGCTTAAAATTGATATAGATTGTCAAAAAGTCTTATTGATAGCTATCGAAAATGGATGAAATTAAATAACAACGTGGTTGTTGAAATATAAGTGAAGAAAATATCGCATTTACTATGTGTTTTGGACTGCGCCGCTCGCATGTGGAATACGTTACACATCTCTCACTCTTGACCTTTGTCGAGGGATCCACTACTCTCCGAGGGCGACCTTCGGTCGTGGTGGGTTTTGCTGAGTATATCCGATTCGTGCGTCGTCAGAGCGTACAGCCAACGAGCGTTCCCCTCTTCACTATGTAGTATTCATGATACACCGATAATAAGTTAGTTACTTATTACTAATATTATATATATCGATTCTGATTATAGTATTGTCTATATAGGCGTTGTAGATGTCTATATATTCTACTTGGTACGATTAGCCTCCTATATCTTCACTATCTTATTCTTATTGATAACTAGAGAGAATCACCTAGATTAAATTATAAGGTGTCTTTAAGTATTTAATATATATAGATATAATCTATGAATTATTTTAACAAGTATATATTAAAGAGCTAATGATCTTAATAGTCATGAAATCAATTTCCGGACTCTCTAAATCTATATATATCGTCTGTTCGTTTACAGAGATTGATCCAAATATAAGACTAAAATCTCTGTATTTACACAGAAGGGATTCTGCTATACCGCCGCAAGATCGTGTTTATATCACGCGTATGCCGATTTATGTTTCTCTGCCTCCACGCCAGTCTCCTCTTCTTCACCAGATGTTGTAATTACAGCAGGCTGCTGCGCCCAGTGCCCTTGCCTAGGCATCAAGCTTTTGTGAGGGGATTCCAACCAGAAACTCTACCCCTCAGCCACACCAAAAAGATTGTCGCGACCATGAAGTTCACGCCACTGAACAAGGCCGCAAAGCGGAAAGAGCCTCCATCTGTCTCTGCAATTGCACCAGCAATCGGAGGGCTCGTAAGGGCACCAATGCCTGCGATAGCAAGAGCCAACCCGATTCGAAAGCCGATCTCCTGAGGTGGGTAGAGAGTCATCACAAGGGGCGGTGTCAAGCCAATGGTGGTGCCAGATCCGATACCAAACAAAGCGGCGAAGACAATGTTGGCCGCGTTACTGCGACTAGGCAACCACAAGGCTAGAGTGATGACACCAGTGAAAAGGAGCATGATGATAAGCACATTGAAACGGCCGTACTTGTCGGCAAGGCCATTAGGAATCGTTCGTCCAAAAAAGCTCGCTCCGTTCATGATGGGAATCAGATTGTAGGCCATAGTCATTGAAATTCCGTTATGCATAGCAGACAGGACAAGGTAGTCGAAAGGGACAAACAATCCCCCTAAACCCTGGTTAGCTGTGTTGCGATGAAACATAATGATAGGCGGCTCACAGTAAAGGAAAAAGCAGAACGTCAACAAGATCAAGAAGTTGAATTCCGTGAAAGGCCGAAGGTAGTTCGCAAGGTTGAACTCCTTGCGAGTGTGAGGCAAGTTGGAGGAGATGGTGAGCATGGCAATAGCCCAGAGCCCAAGGATCAAGAAAGCGCAGATTCGCATCGTCCATGCAAAGCCGACCTCCGAAAGGAGGTTGTTGACCATGAGGGGAAAGATTATACCACCCAGACTCGAGCCTGCAACGGTCAATCCTCCTGCCAAAGCGCGGCGCTTTCTGAAGTAAGTCATAGGCTGTGAAGCTTGTCAGAAGACAAGCGCGATAAGTTCCAAGAGTGATCACACAAACCGAAGTCATTGCCGGAGTGAAAATGAGCGATGTGCCGATTCCTGAGCAAATCGACTGTGCCAAGTATAATTGGTAGTATTTGCTTGACAAGCTGGTCATCATGAGGCCAAACACATGCATCAATCCACCGATACAGATCGGCAATCGTGGTCCATAGTTGTCGAATAGATATCCAGACAACGGTGACATGAACAGCATGAAGAAAACTAGATTGAAATGAGCTTGTTGTTTCACGGCCGGTTGGGGAAGAAGGCTCTCACATTCGGACGAAGTGATCCAGGACACCTCCGAGCTGCTATAGGTCTTCAACTGGTTGGTCTGGTATTCAGCTTGGAACAGAGCAATGCAATTGACCCATCCAAATGAGATGAAAAGACCCAAGGAGCCTCCGAGTAGCGATAGGAAGGCTTTTGTGCCTCCTTCAGGTGCTGCTGGTGGGCCAGATGCTTGAGGCTTGGGCTCCGCTGGACTCGATGGACTTGAAGAGGTTGGACTGCCCTTCTCGAGCTCATCGGTGCGGTCGTCGTGCATAGTTGCTGTGGGGTGCTTGATAGGGCGCGCAAAAGATAGTTGTGCTTGTGACGTCGATTGGAATAACGAGTCCGAACCTAAAGAATATGGCCAGTGCTATATACCTCTGGCACGAGGCCAAGTTCTGCGTATGAAAGGAGGTCAGACATACATGCTGTCGCTAGCAATTCCCGACGTCGAGTAAAAGATCGGACGTCCGATGCTGTTCGTTGGTGATGTACGCAAAGGCGCTGCTGCACACCCGAGGCCGAGTCCGCGGCCGAGCTATTCAAAAGGAAAGCCGACCCCGATCGGCCTCGGAGTTCCGGACTCGGCTTGGATGTTTTTACCTATAAACATTCGTCGTCCACCTGCGAGGTTTTAAGGAATCATTCAACAACAAATCATGGACTATCCTACTCGCCGATTCAGTCGATTTCATGCCAGACAAGTCTTTGCTCGAGCCAACTTTCCGTTGCGAGCATACGGACCCAGAAGAGGGATGGCGCTTCTCAAGATCGGTCTGTTCGGCACTGTTGGCTACTTCGTCGCGAAGAAGCTTCTTCAGTAAGTCGGTACTCCCAAGACACTATGGTCAAGTCGAGAATTATCAACTGACGTCTATCAGAGACTCGAATGAGCCACTTCAAAATCCTCAACAATGTGCATCGTGCGGACATGAGCGGCAGCAAGAATCCAGGCAGCAACCGACGAACGTTCCACGGACGCCATACCATTAGCATTTTGCAGTCATCAGCCATGATGCCAGTCAGCCTCAACAATCAGCCCTTTCCTAGGTTCAGTAGTCAACAGGCATACCTCGACGGTTCGGGCGGTGGTGACGGAAGCTATGGATACAAGACGTTGGGGTGGGCTTCGACTTACTCAAGATCTATAAGGCAAATTGGGACTGTTAGGTATAGTTCAAAACCTATTATTCTAGCCCTTTCTTTTCATAGAAGATAGAGGAAGAAGAGAGTACTCTAATAACTATTTTTATCTTACCTCCTGACGAAGATATTCAACTTTGAAGATTGTCGTCCTTATGGTCCGAAATTCCCAAAAAGTATTAGCGTATATCCATGTGGTCGAAAACTCCCAGACAGGTTAGTGTTGTAGTCGAAAATTCTCAGATTAGACTCTATATAGGGAATACAGGGTAAATAGTGATTTCCATTTCTCTGGATTCTTTGGCCTATTCTGAGTACAATGGTACTCTCTCCTAAATATAGTCAGGCCCGTCCCCGGGGGGGGGGATCATAGTTAAGGAGTGGGTCTAGGGGGGGGGGGACGAGTCTAATACGTCCCGTCCCCCTAACTACCCTAAATATTGATCTTTTTTGGTCGCTCTTTTTTAATCTTTTAATAGTAGAGCCTAACGGACCTAAATATGAAAAAATATCCTAATATTGCTATAGGGAAGAGGCTAATCTAGGCGTATTGGGGTTAGATGAATTATTTTTTGATGGGGGATGCCAAGACCTCTAGGTACGGATAGGCTATCCCTTTTTTGGCTAGCCTTTCTAAACCTATATTATTAGCCTTAGAGATCTGGCTCTCTAGGGGACTTAGCTTAGTAGCTAGGGTAGTAAGGGTTTACTAATAACTATCTCTTGAGGTAAGATATTACTATATACTAAGCTATACTAGGTAAAACTATAGATTCTCTATACTAATAAAATATTTTAATTTAATTTAGATTACTAGTCCTTCTATAATATCTACTATAGAGCAGCACAAGCTTATTAGCCTTAGCCTATCTAGGTAGGCCCTATCTCTATCTAGGTCTACCCTAGTCTACCCTAGTCTATCTAGTCTATCTAGCCTAGGTAGATATAGGCTAGTCTTAGTAGATATAGTCTGGTTAGTCTAGTATAGGTAGATATAGTCTAGTCTAGGTAGCCTAGGTAGATGTAGTCCTGTCTAGATAGTCGTGGTCTGGTCTGTCTGGTGTAGGTGGTCGTGGTCTGGTCTAGGTGACCGAGGTGGATGTGGTCCGGTCTGTCTGGCGTAGGTAGACGTGATCTGGCCTAGGTGGTCGTGGTCCGGTCTGTCTGGTGTAGGTGGACGTGGTCCGGTCTGTCTGGTGTAGGTGGACGTGGTCCGGTCTGTCTGGTGTAGGTGGTCGTGGTCTGGTCTAGGTGACCGAGGTAGACGTGGTCCGGTCTGTCTGGTGTAGGTGGTCGTGGTCTGGTCTAGGTGACTGAGGTGGACGTGGTCCGGTCTGTCTGGCGTAGGTGGACGTGGTCTGGTCTAGGTGACCGAGGTAGACGTGGTCCGGTCTGTCTGGTGTAGGTGGTCGTGGTCTGGTCTAGGTGACCGAGGTAGACGTGGTCCGGTCTGTCTGGTGTAGGTGGTCGTGGTCTGGTCTAGGTGACTGAGGTGGACGTGGTCCGGTCTGTCTGGCGTAGGTGGACGTGGTCTAGTCTAGGTGAACGTGGTCTGGCCTGTCTGGCGTAGGTGGATGTGGTCTGGCCTGTCTGGCGTAGGTGGTCGTGGTCTGGTCTGTCTGGTGTAGGTGGTCGTGGTCTGGTCTAGGTGACCTAGGTGGTCGTGGTCCGGTCTGTCTGGTGTAGGTGGTCGTGGTCTGGTCTAGGTGACTGAGGTGGACGTGGTCCGGTCTGTCTGGCGTAGGTGGACGTGGTCCGGTCTGTCTGGCGTAGGTGGACGTGGTCTAGTCTAAGGTGGTCGTGGTCCGGTCTGTCTGGCGTAGGTGGATGTGGTCTGGCCTGTCTGGCGTAGGTGGACGTGGTCCGGTCTGTCTGGCGTAGGTGGACGTGGTCTAGTCTAAGGTGGTCGTGGTCCGGTCTGTCTGGCGTAGGTGGATGTGGTCTGGCCTGTCTGGCGTAGGTGGACGTGGTCCGGTCTGTCTGGTGTAGGTGGTCGTGGTCTGGTCTAGGTGGATGTGGTCTGGCCTGTCTGGCGTAGGTGGACGTGGTCCGGTCTGTCTGGTGTAGGTGGTCGTGGTCTGGTCTAGGTGGACGTGGTCTGGTCTGTCTGGTGTAGGTGGTCGTGGTCTGGTCTAGGTGACCGAGGTGGATGTGGTCCGGTCTGTCTGGCGTAGGTAGACGTGATCTGGCCTAGGTGGTCGTGGTCCGGTCTGTCTGGTGTAGGTGGACGTGGTCCGGTCTGTCTGGCGTAGGTGGACGTGGTCCGGTCTGTCTGGCGTAGGTGGACGTGGTCTAGTCTAAGGTGGTCGTGGTCCGGTCTGTCTGGCGTAGGTGGATGTGGTCTGGCCTGTCTGGCGTAGGTGGACGTGGTCCGGTCTGTCTGGTGTAGGTGGTCGTGGTCTGGTCTAGGTGACTGAGGTGGACGTGGTCCGGTCTGTCTGGCGTAGGTGGACGTGGTCTAGTCTAGGTGAACGTGGTCTGGCCTGTCTGGCGTAGGTGGACGTGGTCCGGTCTGTCTGGTGTAGGTGGTCGTGGTCTAGTCTAGGTGGACGTGGTCTGGCCTGTCTGGCGTAGGTGGACGTGGTCCGGTCTGTCTGGTGTAGGTGGACGTGATCTGGCCTAGGTGGTCGTGGTCCGGTCTGTCTGGCGTAGGTGGACGTGGTCTATCTAGGTAGACGTAGTCTAGTCTAGCTAGATGTGGTCTGGTCTATCTAGCCTAGATAGATGTAGTCTGGTATTCAAAAATATATATTTTGAAAGATAGTGCCTAGCTTTGAACCGCTGTCTTCCCCTAAAGATGCCTAGGGCTACCTATTAGCTACTAGACTACCTATATATATATATTACTAGGAAGCTTATTACTTTACTTATAGTATATATTATAGAGGCTATAAAGGTTTGTCTATATAGGTCTGCCCTGGTCTATCTAGGCCTGCCCTAGTCTGCCCTAGTCTGGCTAGTTGGCCTATAGGCCCTGGTCTATCTAGGTCTGCCCTGGTCTACCTAGGCCTGCCCTGGTCTACCTAGGTGTGCCCTACTCTAGGTAGCTAGCTAAGGGCCCTGGAGCTACCGGGGTCTGCCCTAGTCTGGTTAGGTCTGCCCTAGTCTAGCTAGTTAGGCTAAGGGCCCTGGGTCTATCTAGGTATGTCCTGGTCTGGCTAGTGAGCCTATGGGCCCTAGGTCTATCTGTGTGTGCCCTGGTCTATCTAGGTATACCCTGGTCTGGCTAGTGAGCCTAAGGGTACTGGGTCTACCCGGGTCTGCCCTAGTCTGGCTAGGTGTGCCCTGGTCTGGCTAGGTCTGCCCTGGTCTGGCTAGTGAGCCTAAGGGTACTGGGTCTACCCGGGTCTGCCCTAGTCTATCTAGGTCTACTCTGGTCTGGCTAGGTCTGCCCTGGTCTGGCTAGTGAGCCTAAGGGTACTGGGTCTACCCGGGTCTGCCCTAGTCTATCTAGGTCTACTCTGGTCTGGCTAGGTCTGCCCTGGTCTGGCTAGGTCTGCCCGGGTCTGCCCTAGTCTGGCTAGGTCTGCCCGGGTCTGCCCTAGTCTGGCTAGGTCTACCCTGGTCTATCTAGGTGTGCCCTGGTCTATCTAGGTGTGCCCTGGTCTGGCTAGGTCTGCCCTGGTCTATCTAGGTCTGCCCTAGTCTATCTAGTTGGTCTACCCTATTCTTCTTATGGTTAAAACCCTATATTAACTTAACAATATCAACCATTTAGGCTTATTAGGCCTACTAACACTAACTAGAACTAGCTAAATAACCCTCAAGCTTTAACCCTAAGTAAACCTATGCTTCTGCCAATCACTTAAGGCAAAATTATAGAAAACTAGTGCTCCCCCAATTACCTCAGTATCAAATTTCCACTCAGGCTTTTCAAAAGCCGCCACCGTTACTGCCTTAGGCAGCCACTCATCTTCTATATAGCTCTTTCCTCTAGCCTTCCCTTCTAGAACTATCTCAACACATATACCCCAAAATATTGTGAGTAGCCAGACAGAAAAACACCCCTGGCTGTCCTGAGGCAGCAATCCACCTCTGCAGATCTTTGTTGGTAGATAGCAGCTAAAGCAGCAGCTATCTGCCCTAGGATCTATAGAGCTATCTAGCTCTTTAGCTCTCACTGATCTAGCCTCAAAAAACTGGCAGCTTTCTAGTGCGTGGGCTGAATACTGACGCCTTGATATCTTAGGCCCACTCTCAGCTATAGGGTTAGTTTAAATATTAGTCTAGTATCTTATAGTTAGGGGTATAGGCTAAATAGCTTACCTAAATATAGTCGGGCCCGTAGCCCCCCCCGGCTACCATAGTTAAGGAAGTGGGTCCAGGGGGGGGGGGGCTACGGGAAAAACACGTAGCCCCCCCCCCTAACTACCCTAAATATTGATATTTCTTGGTCGCTTTTTTTTGATCTTTTAATAATAGAGCCTAATCGACCTAGATATCAAAAAATATTCTAATATTTCTATCTAGAAGGGGCTAATCTAGGAGTGTTGGGGTTAGAGGAATTATTTTTTGATGGGGGATGCCAAGACTTCTGGGTACGGATAGGCTATCCCTTTTTTAGCTAGCTTTTCTAAACCTATATTATTAGCCTTAGAGATCTGGCTATCTAGGGGACTTAGCTTAGTAGCTAGGGTAGTAAGGGTTTACTAATAACTATCTCTCGAGGTAAGATATTACTATATACTAAGCTATACTAGGTAAAACTATAGATTCTCTATACTAATAAAATATTTTAATTTAATTCAGATTACTAGTCCTTCTATAATATCTACTATAGAGTAGTACGAGCTTATTAGCCTTAGCCTATCTAGGTAGGCCCTATCTCTATCTAGGTCTCTAGGTCTACCCTAGTCTACCCTAAGTAATTTAGTAGCTAGGATAGGGAGTTATTAGCTAAGAAAGGTCTAACCCGTTCTAG